GAGGGGGGGAGCTCCTTGTCAGGGATTTCAGACATAAAGTTAAAATACTTATACCAGGGTGCTGGCTGTGGGAATGGAGAATAATGAATAAATACATGAAACATTTTGAGAGGAGGATCAGCAGAATGCAATGATGATTGCTGTCAAAGATTGGGGGGAAACTAATGTTCACTGAAGTATCTAAGCCTGTAGGATTAGAAGAGGTGGTCACATAAACAGCAATAAGGAATTCAGGGTGAACAGCTGATTTCCTGGGACAGTGATAAGGAGTTCCGTTTCAAAGAACGAATTAACGGTGACAGTTGAATGGAAATGTACAGCAGTCAGTGTGAAATGTGGGACTAAAGTTGAGACATCAGGGTTAGCGATAGAGATCAGCAAAACTGATGAGTCAAGCGTAGGAATGCAACCAACAAATCCTTGATACAGATAAAAATCAAGGGCTAAGTATGAACTCTTGGAGAATTTTCTGCATTTTGGAAAGAGAAATAAGAGCCAACAAAGGAGCTAACTTAAATGGGCCAAGTTAGAAGAAAACCAAGAATATCATGGCTTCACAGTAGAAAGGGGGAAAGTTTCAAAGATTTGGTTGTCAACATTTGTGCAAAGTCAACCTGGTGGGTAGACTATTATAGTGAGACTGTTGGATTAAGCAATTAGTCAATTGACCTTTTGGTGTCATTTCAACAGAATAGTTAAAATAGAAGCTGCATCCAAGTGGGTTAAAGTGTGAATTACGAATAAAGAAATGCTAGAAAAATGCTCAGTAAATGTGACAGTGAACGGAAAGGAAAAGAAGCAACAGTTTTACTGAACTGTAAAGCTTAGCTTTGAGGTCAAGTAAAGTGTGTTTACTTTAGTTGGGTTTTCCCAGAAAGTAAAGGGTCAATAAAGCAAATATGTTCTTTCATGGACTAAGATCTCAAGTATTTCAGGAAAATCACAAATGGACAGAAGCTAGTGATTTAAATGTTTATTTATTAGACTTTATAGTTCAACATAACATTCCAGGATTATTCTTGCATCATACAATTTAGAGTTTCCAGATGGTTAAACTAAGGATTATCATTTCCCATGGGCAGACTTTAAGGAAAGGAATGCCAAACCAATCATTGTGTTTTTAATTTTCTCAGTCTTTTTTTTTTTTTTTTTAATATGTTTTTATTGATTTCAGGGAGAGGAAACAAGAGGGAGAGAGAGAGAGAAACATTGATGAGAGAGAAACATCTGTGGGCCTCCTGCTGCACACCCTCCACCAGGGATCAAGCCTGAAACCCAGGCGTGTGCCCTGAGTGGGAATTGAACCAGTGACCTCCCAGTACACAGGGTGACACTCAACCAACTGAGCCACATCAGCAGGTCTCTCAGTCTTTTTTGTTGGATTTATCTTCTATGCCATTAGTGATCCTCTTTGCATCTAGGATTTGTCACTTTTGAATTTTCACTGAATCTTGGGTACTTTTTATTCCCAAGTGAATTAAGAGTTCGCTTTGAATATTGCTCAAGTTAATGGATGTTCTTATCCTTCAGGCATCTTTGGACACTCCCTACATTTTTTAGGTTCCTAAGGTTATCACACAGATGCCAAGTCACACACTTACATGTCAATGCATGAAAGACTTGTAATTAATACCTTTGATTAGATAGCTGTATCGAACTTATATTCAGTAATTTTTTTCCTTATACAACCCAGTTGTATTTATAATAAAACTTAAATGCCTCTTTTATCTATTTCCAAAAGAAGTTATATGCAATATAAATGCTAATCCTAATTCATTCTTAAGGCACAATTGCTGGTTTGTTGTGTGCATCTAACATGAGCAATTTTCCCAGACCTAATGAATCAAATCTCTTAGTAACGTGTAGAAATTCATTTTTTAACACACCCCATTCTCCCTCTTCCCTCTAGGATTGGTATGCCCTCCGCTGTTTCAGGAACTGGCCTGTTTAATAATATTTCACCAAAGGGCTATCCATATGTACAGTGAGAAGGAAAGGAGCCAATAGAGAGGAAGTGATTAAAGCAACTACAGAGAAAGATACTATTTGAGACCTTGGTGTCTTGAAAGAGGGTGGAAGGAAATGAGACTAAGCACAGATGTGAAACTCAGCCTTAAAAAGGAAGAAGATAAGGGAAAGTTGATGTAAGAGAGAAGAGTATGCAACATAGTCTTCCTAGCTTCCCATCCCACCCACCCCCGTTCACCTCAGGTTAGTTAACGTCACTTGCTGAGTTGTGTGGTGGGCACCTGGAAGGCAGGAGAGACTGAACAAGGACAGCAGAAGAATGCAGACTAAGAAACAGAGGAAAGCCCCACCAGTTAACATCAGGAGCACAACTGAAATTGAAATGCAATGCAATTGGACATACTACGTAGAATCATTTTCTTTTATTTACAACTTCAGGGGTTAAGTTGGGGTTTTTTTTGTTAGTGGTGGGCTTGTGTTTGTTTTGGGGTGTGTGTGTGTTATAGAAAGTCTCCATCTGTTGATGGTTTGGAAGTGAGTTGCACTGAGTCCATTTTTTCATAGAAACAGTATTTAACAAATAAAATAGGATATTTTCTGAATGTTGGTCAGTCCACATTAGGACAGTCTTGTAAAATCTTAATTCTGTTTATACATTTTCCTATTATATCTACTATCTTATGTTTACCAAAGTAAGTACATAAGAATGGTATAAAATGTCATATTCTTTCCGGAAGTTTCAAACATCTCACTGCATTTGTTTTCTTTCTCAACCAGAGCAATCATGTTTCTCAGAGTAGTTTATGGTAATGAGCCAAAATGGCCCCGGGCAACTTCCTTGGGAAATATAATCTGAACTGTCATTAAAAATACAAAGTTTGGAGAAGGGAAGATAAAAAATTTTCTTCAGGTGTTGCAGATAGAAGAGATAATTCAAGGAGGAGTGTATATTTATTTCCAGTTTGAATCACCATAAAAACAGAAACATCATAACTTGAGATACAGGGCCATCAAAAAGAAACAAATCTTGCCTAGCCAGTGTGGCTCAGTGGTTGACCTTCAACCCATGAACCAAGAGGTCACTGGTTCAGTTCCCCTGCACGTGCTCAGGTTTCAGGATGGATCCCCAGCAGGGGGTGTGCAGGAGGTAGCCCATCAATATTTCTCACATTGATGTTTCTATCTCTCTGTCCCTCTCCCTTCCTCTCTCTAAAATCAATAAAAACATATTTTTTTTTAAAAAAGAAACAAACAAATCTTGTGTTTTTTATGAAGACCCTGATAATGTTGCTGATTTTCCAACTGGAGAACAAGGATCCTGGTGTTTTTTGTCTCCTAAACATTTATTTCAACCTCTTTTCCAGAACTCTCTCTTCCCTAGTTTTAAAGATATTTGAGATTAGTATATTTTTAATTGGTTTAACAAACATAATAGGTTATTTTCTGGACATACAGGAAATTTTTAAGTATTGATACTACATGAACTGGATTAAATAACACCCTTTGTGTTTTTATAATTTCAGCTCTTGGCTTGACAAATTTAACAAATTTCAAAATTTTAAATGAAAGAGGTTTAATAATATTTTTGTGTTTTCATTACATCATTATTTAATGCAAAAACTATTATACCTAGAGTATGTTTGGAAGCACTTACCTATCACTCATTTTCTTTCTCCTGAATGAAAAGCTTAAAAATAAAGTAAGACACTTTCTGAAAAACATATTATGTAACTTACTATTTGAATTTTAATACCAAGTAATTACCATTCATTCATTTATACTATATTAAGGATCATGAAGTAATTTCAATAAATATATCCCATTGACATGGACAAAGCATTCCTAAGAAATTGCTAATCTTACTCGGAAATAACTCATTTTAGCTTTTGGTTGAAAATAAAATGTTTAGTTGTTCATAACTTAAAATGAGAAATCCCTAATGCCTAAATAAAATGAGAATACTTAACCTTCACATGAAGTTTGGGAGATGATTCTGACTTAAGTCAATAAGTAATTCCTGTGGGTAATCGATAATAGAAAGTACTATTAAAAGATATTAGTACCTAAGAGATATTAGGCATAAAAGCTTTATACACACTTTAAAAGCATGAAAGTTTAAGAAATAAACAGAATCTGCTACTCTACTTTTTAAAGAAATATTTTAATTTTTACTTGTTTGCTTCTAAGAACATGATGAAACGTGAATTTCAGTTTTTAGGCAGAAACAGATTATTGTAAAAAGTGTATTCTGTCTCCCTTTTTTTTTTAATCCTCACCTGAGGACATGCTCAGAGAGAGGAAGAGGGGGAGAGAGAGAGAAAAACATCAATTGGTTGCCTCCCGTACACCCCCAATCAGGGATTGAACCCCAACCCAGGTATGTGCCTTGACCAAAACTGAACCAGCAACCTTTTGGTGCACAGGAAGGCGCTCCACCAACTGAGCCACTCCTCCCAGGCTATATTCTCATTTTTTATGTATGTCTTTCTTAGTTTTTTATAAGATTTTATTTCTCTATAGATTTCTTTCCTGATCTTGATTCTATATATGGAAAAAAGTAATTTGGGAAAAATGAATTAGTTTTCTAGTAGTTTTTTTTTTTTTTTTAATTTCAGAGAGAGGAAGGAAGGGGGAGAGAGAGAGAAGAACATCAATGATGAAAGAGTCATTGATCGGCTACCTTCTGCAATATTTTGTTTTTCAGAAATACATTTTATAACCTGTGTGCATAAAACTTTACAGTGACATGCTTTGTGGGGACTGTTTATAAAAATGGAGTCTTTTACAATGTAAACTTTTATTCTCACTCTAAAATCATGTGTTTGGGCCCAGCTGGGTGTGGCTCAGCAGTTGAGCATGGACCTAGGATCCAGGAGATCACAGTTTTGATTCCTGGTCAGGGCACATGCCCGGGTTGCAGGCTCGATCCCCAGTTAGGGGGCGTGCAGGAGGCAGTCGATCAATGATGACTTTCCCATCATTGATGATTCTTTCTCTCCTTTTCCCTCTCCCTCTCCCTTCCTCTCTCTGAAATCAATAAAGATATATTTTAAAATAAATAAATAAAACCATGTTTGTTTGTCAAACATATGTCACTTTGAAAAAGCTGTTCTTTGCTGTAGGATACATTTTAGTTTGATTTTTTTTTTAATGGCCTCTCCTCATCTATGCCAAAAACCTGAAAGCTTGGGTTCATGTTTTTGCTGCAAGGACTTTTTTTTAATATGAATAAACAGTGTACCATATCTTATTGACCTAAAAAAAGAAATAATGTAAGCTTTATATACATTGCATTTATATTGCCATTTATATTACCCCAAGATGAAATTTATACCTGGATATATAAGATAGTCTGAAAACCTTTAAGTTTTCTGTAATTTTTAACTAATTTACTGCCTCTCAGAATTACATACAGATAGTAAAATTAAAATTGAATTTATTTAACATCAACCAAATATTATTTTAACTTTAGAATAGACACTTCTGATAGTTAAGTTTAAGATTATATACCATCATTGTCTAGTTGCAGATATCCAGAATTATACTCCCATTCACTGTGAGTCATCAGGCGATTTTACTCTTAAAGCCAAGACTCTTGTTCCTTTACTCTTCTAAATAGGCTCCTTCAGTGCAATGGTGTACCTTATACTAAACATGAAACTCTAAATTCTGGAGTGTAGGTACATCCCAGGCATCAAAAATAAAGGTGCTAGCTATCATTGAATGACATGAAATAGAAATAAAAGCTATAAGTACAGAAGGAAAGGAACAAAATAATTTAGTGATAATTGGACTAAGTGTAAATTGCTGATGAGACACCTAAAACACTGTTGACTTCTTATTTTTATTGTTTAACAGTAAGATGGATATATTTGCAAAAACCATTAAGACATATATATATGTGATACATATATATGTGTGTCTGTCTATATATGTGTGTGTGTCTATATATATTGGGGGGTCACTTATGAAAATATACCTAATTGTAATAACCAAAGAACATATAAAACAATCTTGTCAGAATATACATTAGACCTGAGAATGAAAACTACAAGAATAAAATAGGATTTGGCAAAAAAATTCTGATGTTTATGAAGAAGAATAAATAGGTAAAGTTTAAATAGAGTTAGGTAAAGGGTAAACACGAAAGGTTTAATGAAAAATAATGTGGCCTGGCCGGCGTGGCTCAGCGGTTGAGCATTGACCTATGAACCAGGAGGTCACGGTTCGATCCCAGTCAGGGCACATGCCCAGGTTGCGGGCTCCAGTGCAGCCGATCAAGGATTCTCTGTCGTCATTGATGTTTCTCTCTCTCCCTTTCCCTTCCTCTCTCTGAAATCAATGAAAACATTAAAAAAGAAGAAAAATGTGGAGGGAAACTAGCCCAATTTTAAGCATTTTATATCATATTTTGATAAAATTATGAACAAAGGTATAACAATTTAGGAAGCAACCTCTAATAACGTTGAAGCAACAAGATCTAGAACAGCGCTTTGTGATGTGTACTCGATAGAACGCCGAGATAATGGATAGAGGTGAAGGCGCCCGCAGCCGAGAGAGCTTCGAAGAGCTTCGGTTGAAAGACAGGTTTTTTATAGCAGGACCCTTGTAAAATAATGTATATTGTAAATCAAAACAGCTCTGTATGTTTTTTAAACACAGAATGAAACCATATCAGAATATATCGGAGCACTTTGGCGCACTCTGGGAAGCCACTGTTGAAAATTTAGTTTTGTCTCTTTTCCTCCCACTGGACACCAAAATGTCAGTTATATGAAAAAGGTGAAATCATGAAAAGGAATATAAATCTAGCATATTTCTAGATAAAGAAGCCTCCATAAAGGATATTAAAAAGAGACATGTATGAAAGGAAATATATGATGTTAAAAAGGCCTATTTGTATGAAAGTGGAAAAAATTAAGGGGATGAAAAAATAAGCAAAATAAAAAGGGTTAGGGAAAAAATTATACAAAGGCGATCAACTAAAGGGATAATATACAAATTGATTTTAAACAAATAAACTTAGGCTCTTACAAACAAATAGGCAATGGACATAGCCAGTTCACTAAAAAGGAAATGTAACTAGTGTATAAACACAGAAAGGGTTTTCAAAATCCATAATCGGATATCACAAATGGAAATGCTATTTTATATTGAGTTATCCCAATACATACGTGAATTGAACGTCACCCCCACTCTGCCAAACATAACACTGATTCTGTAATCAGACGTTTCACGTTGGCTCTTTCTCTCCCCAGTTCCCATTCTGTGATGGAGCTCACACAAAACACAACGAGGAGACTGGAGACAACGTGGGACCTCTGATCATCAAGAGGAAAGAAACTTAGATCCACAGTTTTGATGCTGCAAACCAACTTGTCCTGGTTGTTTAATTAGAATGGCTACCACTTCTGTCTAATTCACCTTCTCTGGGTTCTAGATGTGGTATATTACAAACTGCAGCTTCCATACTCATGTCATTTGCCTTACTTGTTGAACCATCGTGGTGCACATTTGTTTTAGCAAAAAAAAAAGGGAAAGGTGAAACCAATCTCATGGCCTGTGGGTTATTTTGGTTTTGTAAGGATCCGTTTCTTTGCATTTAATGTAATTACATTGGAATGCAGTTGTATGTTGAAGTTAACATATTAAATTATTCTCAAAATCATGTCTATGCAGATTTATTTATACTTTTCAAGAAAAAATGATCACCTTTTATTACTTAGTTAACCTAGAAAGTAAACTAAGTGTGATTAAGCTACGCTAATCTCTTAACACAATCGAGGAAAACCCATTATGACCTTGGTTTTCTTCTCGACAGAGAAAATACGGCTTCTGTGTTTTCCCAGTTTTTAATCAAAATGAACTTTGAATGTTGTCCTGCTTATTTAGAAGTGGGCCATGTCAATAATAAAGGGGTAGCCCTACCTGGTTTGGCTCACTGGTTAGAGCATCGGCCGTGGACTGAAGTGTCTCGGGTTCGATTGCAGTCAAGGGCACGTACCTTGGTTGCAGGCTGGATCCCTGGCCCCAGTCAGGAGGCAACCAACCAATGAGTCTCTCTCACATCAATGTTTTCCTCTCTCCCTTCCACTCCCTCTGAAAAGCAATGGAAAAAATATATCCTCGGGTAAGATTAAAAAATAAATAAAAATAATAATAAAGGGGTGGTAACTTTTGTACTCATCTTCATGGATATTTAATTGATCCATTAAAGTAACCAATAGTGGCTATTTAGATTACGGAATAGATTTAAAGTAGACATGAAGGATGTCTTAAAATATAATATTCCAGAATTTTATCCCATGCTCTTGAACTAGAATTCCTTTGGATATTAAAACATTTTCATGTTCCTTAATCTAAAAACTCAAGTGGGTGTGGTTAAGTTAATGTGAGATATTTTCACACAAAAGTTGTGTGCAATTGTTTTTCTCATTTAAGTACCCTAAAGCTTCTAATTTTTCATTTGATTGGGAACCTAGGCTGAGCTGCTTTGGCTCACTGAGAAGTTGGGGCAGAGAGAGAAGGAGGCCTTGGAAACAGGTCCAGGGACCTTGGAGACAGGTTCAGGGGGTAAGCCTAGGATGAGCTGCCACTGCCCATTGCTTCGTTGGTTGCAAGTCTTGTGGGGTCCCCTCAGAGGGATGGAGATGGCGCTGGCAGCTCCCCTGGGTGGGAAGCATGAACTGGGTCCTTTGTCCTGAGTGTATTTATCCCTTTCTTGCAGGCAGGAATCTTAGAGGAGGGTCTCAGGGGAGGGTCTCAATAGAATATTCATCAGCTTTCCAGAATATTCATCATGTGTGCTTTCAGGGTCATGGTCTCCACTGATTGGTTGGTGCCAGGGCAGGAGGGTCATTAGTCAGTGTACCTGGTCCTGAGGCAGCCATGGAGTCACTTGTCTGGTTTTGCTGTTTTCTGGGCCTGGAGCTGAAATACAGCTGAGGCCGAGATGTTATCTTTAGGGAGGAACTGCTCAGGGGGTCTAAACCACATGGCCAGCCGCATGCTGGGGGAGAAGAGATTACCCTGGGGACAAGGTTCTTGTTTTCCAGTTTTGCCCCTTGCTAGGCTTCCTGCCCTGGTGAGTTCCTGTACCTGAATTTCTGTACCTGGCCCATCTAACACCAAGGTTCTATATAAAGTTCTCAGGCTGCCCAGCCGGCGTGGCTCAGTGGTTGAGCAGCAACCTGTGAACCAGGAGGTCATTGTTGGATTCCGCGTCAGGGCAAATGCCCAAGTTTCTTGCTCGATCCCCAGAGAGGGAGTGCAGGAGGCAGCCGAACAATGACTCATCACTGATGTTTCTATCTCTCTCTCCCTCTCCCTTCCTCTCTCTGAAATCAATAAAAACATTTAAAAATTTTTTTTAATTAAGTTCTCAGGCTTATTTTATTAAGATATTAAAATAACAGTTTGATTTTGATACTTAGTTTTATATATGAACGTTCTCATATATGATTATTAACACAATGCATTGAGACTTCATGCATTAAAAAATGGTTTTTAATTCACTTTACCATCATGGATCCAAACTAAGGATAGTGCCCACCTGTCCTAATCCCTTCACAACCTATGACTTCAGCTTGGAGATTTGCCAAGGATGATTGTTAAACTACACATCTGCCTTTCCTGCAAAAAGTCTGTATTTTTTCTGGATTTAAGTGAAGAACTATTTCATAAAAGAGTTGCATATGTTAACTGAAGTTGCCAGGAATCCTGCCAAAGGGGAAAGACTGGCAATAAAATTTTAATCAGTAAATGAGTGAATGATTAAGATTATAAATTGGGAGTGTTGATAGAGTCACCCCTTAGGTCTATGAACAACAAAAAAGGCAGTTCGGCCTCAAACGTGGAACAAGAGTGCTGAGCTGAGAGTGTTGTCAGGGAGGCATTGTGTAAACTACATGTTCTCCACTTTCAGTAATAACCTTTATGTCTGAGGATAGTCTTTCTTTCTAGTTCTTCCAACCTGTCACAGGTAAGCAGAAGTCAATTTCTGTCAAGACCTGGGTCTTCAAGTGCTATTTCACAAGTTGTTTTCCTTTGTAAGTATACAGAGTTGTATAGATTCCCAGCTTTATTTTACATTTAAGATAATTTTGAACATTGCCCACCTGCCTACATGCTCATTACAGTAAGATAACTTTTTTTTTTTTGCTGATAATACTGCCAACCAACACTTTCGTTGTTGGCTTAAGCAGTGGCTCATCTAACTCCATTTACAAGACAGATATGAGAGATGATGTCTCTTATGGCTCTGTCACTCATTAAACTTAGCTAAGTCTGTTAAATTTATTTCAGAATCTCCCAACTATGAAAGGTAGAGTTCCATTTATGTACTCCATCTGCAGAGCAATCCTCTTTCTGTATCGTAAACTTTCTTGACACAGGCTCCCCCTACTCATTCTGCACAGTGAGGCTGTGTGTTCACCTCAATACCATTAAATTTTTAAAAATTTCTCAGCCTTCATCTTTCTAACTTGCAGTCTGCCCTGCAGCTATCACATGAATCTTTTTCTTATCTCTTGACCTCTGCATCCATTCCAACAAAGAGCATTTTGTTCATCACTTAAAGCAAGTGCATCCCTTTCTCTTTAAGGATCCCGTGGAAAGCTGCCCCTAGCACAAAGCTAAAATAACAAACATTGTCTGGTTACTACTTCCATCCTGACCCTGGACGCCACCTAGTGTAGAATCTCTGATAATAAAATTGTTAAACCATAAAATACAATTCTTAGTATGCCCTTGAGTTATGTCCCTGATCCTGAGTACCTTTGTACCCCCAAAACTCTGGTCACCTACAGCAGTTTACAGTTCTGTGACTCCCTTATGCTTATAGCATCTGGTTTCCCAAGTCATTGGTAATGCCACAGGACTCACTTTTTTTAAATCCCTAAGAAAGAAAGTGTTTCAAACTTTGATCATTACAATATATTCAGTACTCAAAATAGTTACAAGTACATAGCAGGTGCTCAATAAATACTTGTTTTAATTATTAAGAGATTTGAATGTAATTTTAAAAGAATGCAAAAGTAATTGCCAAAAAGTATTTTGGTCTTGTTCTACCCCCAAACCCTGATTATCTTGTTTTCAAGTTTGTTTCTCTGCATCCAGTATTATGGACTTTTGAACATGCTTATTAGGAAAATTTACTGTATAACTAACTTATCTTGACAAGAGTGGCTATAATTTAGTCTAATACTTCTGTGCCTAAACTTTTAGTGTAAAAGCCAGCAAACAAATACTCCTACTATTCAGATCAGCTTGTTTTAGACAGTATGCACAGTGATGCATTATATCTAGGGTGGGAGGGCAAATGTGGCATTTGGGATGTTTAAAATCTGTATATATTGCTTTGGGAGAAGAGAAAGCTGCTATGAAAAAGACCAAGAAACTTCTGGTTTGTCAATCTAGAAGGCTTTCTAATTGCATTTATTACCTCTTTGGGGGCAGTGGGGTACTGGTACAACAATAATGGGCTTCTAAATCATGCTTCAGTTCAAATCCCTGCTCTGCTGCTAATTAATTGAGACCTCAAAGAAATAATTTTCTGTGGGCCTCTGATGGTTAATTTTATGTACACTTGACTGGGCCACAGAGTGCCTACATATTTGGGCAAACATTTTTTAAATGTATCTGTGAGGGTGGGGTTTTGTTTGTTTGTTTTTTATTTCACAGAGAGGAAGGGAGAGGGAGACAGAGAGAGAAACATCAATGATGAGAGAGAATCATTGATCGGCTGCCTCCTGCACACCCCCTACTGGGGATGGAGCCTGAAACTCAGGCTTGTGCCCTCCCTGGGAATCGAACTGTGACCTCCTGGATCCTAGGTCGATGCTCAACCACTGAGCCACACCAGCTGTGCTGCGGGGAGCTTTTCTTACTTTCAGTTAGAATTAGGTGCCCCTTCTTTGCAGCCCACAGAACTCTGCTTATTTTTATCCGAGTACTTGTTATCCTTATTACCAGTCTTTTCACTCAAGCTATGAAGTTTTTTCTGTTTCCCTGCTATCTAACATTTATTGAGTGAATGAATGAATGAATGAATGAATGAATGAATGAATGAATGAACATACACTTGTTAAGTATCAGAACCTCTAGTAGGCCTGGGGGGGACATGATAAAACATAACCCTTGCTCTTGAATCTGAAGTCCAGCTAAGTCATAAGCTAAGTCATAGGCGGTATATCAGTGACTGATGACAGAGGGAGGAGAAGGGGACACGGGGGTTGTAGGAGCCACTGGCTGGACTGGAGGGAGTTGACAAGGAGACAGATTCCTTTTATGTGCCCCCAACACCTACTAACACAAAGACTGAAAACTGGTAGACCCCTGGCCAAAAAAGCCACAGGAAGGTTTTGTTTGTCCCTTTAAGCTAACATTAAAGAAATCAGATTTTATATAACATGATGGATTTCTGGCTTCCTTTGGGTAATCTGGGGATATGGAATTGCATTCTCAGGGCATTAACTTTGTTTGCATTCACCAATTTTTATATTAAACAAACTTCAGTTAAGAAATGAATCACTTTAAAGAAAAACATAAGGTAAATAACTGTGCAGGGAGTACTTGGATATGGCCTAAAAAGTGAGGGTGGTGCTTAAATGATGGTTCACGGTACCGGAAAACAGCACAAGGGCCTCCAGATTCTCTATCACTGCCACC